TCTTCCGTTTTTGTAAACCGATCAAAACACGGAAAATAGACTAAACCACAGTAATTTAGTACTTATATGACTGAACTTTCGCAATTGCTATTAGAGCACATACCTGAGAAAGATTTTTTGGGTCAGACTATTTACATGTTCAACAAACCTCATTTTTGCAGATTCAACACTCTGAAATTTTTTATAAATTTTTAAATAAGATGTGCAGCATTTTGGTTTTTTCATTACAAAAAGATATTTTGGATTTAACTGGATTTTTCAGATTGTGACTAGAATAAATTTATATCAGATTATGAATATCGCTTTTGTAAGTTTTTGTAGTACTTGCTGACTCATTTTATTTTCAGTCTATGCCGCAACTACGGGAAGAATAACCCTTTCTATAATTTCAGTTATAATAATCAAATCATTTAGTGAAAGCAGATTCGCATTTCATTTGATAAGAAACACATAGTTTATTTGATATAGTGAACATTGTCTCCATTATCTCTCAATATTTGCATTTTGAGTTATTTCACATTATGTACCGACTGCGCTGAAAAATTTCTTGGATTATTATCAGTAAGTAAATGTGTCATCTCATACAATGTACTTACCCAACATTTAATTAGGGTGGTTCTTGTATATTCCAGAGATTAGTACTAGCATTTAGTTTATCCATTCATTAACGTATTCGACCTGAAGATAGCCAATTTAATACCATATTCTTCTATTATCGTAGATGAAATGAGATACCGTGACGTCATGCATGAAAATTTGACATAGCTATGTTTGTATTATCCGAAATAATTAGGAAACTACTTTGAAAAGTGTTGTGTCTCATAAATGGTAGCATAGCAGCGACAACTGGTCATAGATGCCGCTTTTATATCTCAGTTAAACTTGGATAATTTTTTGGACGCGCGAATATATTACTAGGTTGGCTATTTTGTTGTGTCGTCTTACATTTCACCGCTACTTAAACTTACGCGCTGTCAAATTCACAACGATATAGGTGTGGTTTATAGAATACCAGTGTTAATGTCGGATATTTCCAGCACATACCTCTCGAGCAGAGGATGAACTTGCCAGTAACCGCCGTAGCTTCAGTGGCCGTCGCGGCTGCGATCCGCTTCGCTTTGGACCTTGTTCCGAACCGATTCTTCCGGGTGAGGGCAGCGTCCTCCTTTCCACCGTCAAAGTCTAAGACGACGTCTGGCGGAAATAACAGTGATGAAATTAGGGATGTGAGTATTGTGGTGATGAATATTTAAGAAATTTATTACAATAGATATGTATATACATATAGGTGAAAAATTAAAGCTTCCGCCTTTTGTTGGGTACTTCGACAAAATTTAAGCAAAGAGGACTCTTTATACTTTTTTAATTCTCTCTAGCTTTCAATGGACTTTGCCATCATCATCAGGAGCTGCAATTACAATGATAACAGTAGCAACAAAAGTGTAAAATGAATTTAAATTGAATCAACTTACAGTAGTATGTGAGGATGTTGCTAATTGTTGTTTTCGTATAGGATGAGGGAAACGTCCAGTAACATGGTGAGAGCTGGATACATGGTACAATGGTTAAAATTATATAAAATATGACAAGACAAGTGAAAGACAGATTAAAAATTATTTAGAAAACATTAGAGCATTACGTCGTGAAGCCATTTGATGATTGCACAAAATGGTGGTCATGGAATAATGAGTGAGATGTACCTTTGACAGAAGGCCGAAGGTTGTCAATGTCTGTGTTGAAAGATGGAACGAATTGTGGGCGTGTGCCAAAATGTTGCCAAATCACTTCAGATGATGTGATTTTCAGAATGTTATGTAAGAAATTGTTAAACCGACCAGAGGCAGTTGAATAAACTATATTTTAATTAATGGGAATTTTAAATTAACAATTATTAATAAATCGTGAGAAGAGAATTATTAGATTTTGAGTGGAATGAAATTTGTTGGTGGAATCGGCCAAAACACAGATTATATTTATGGTTGTGAAAAGTCGAAATTTGGGGAGATATGTAAGTTCTCCAATTTTTCGCAGTTTAGCAAATATGAGTAAATGACACTCAGTTGTTTAATATCTGTCTTTTTGTTGATACAGTTGTTATTCATGAAAATGTGGACATTTCCAGGAATAAACGTTTGGAAAGGTGTTTTTCTTTATCAAGAACTTTGATACTTGTGTAATTCATAGAATGCCCTGTTGTGTTAACATGAGATGCTAGAGCGCATCTTTCAGTTGTTGCAATTGATGGAGTAGACTGTGTTAGTTAAGCCAAGCAGCGGGACTTTGTCTTTCATTTTTGAAAAAATGCGGTTTATAGTGAGGACGGATTTGCAAGCAATTCGAAAGTTCAAAGGACTGCACAATCTGATCAGCTTAGGGGTTAGTTCCTTGATATAGGGCAGGACAGCAAAACCAGGTCTGGAGTCTGGGTTGGTGCATGTACTGTTTGGATTGATGCTATTATTGGGAATTACATCAGTTCCGTTATTATTAGGGGTTGTGTGACTATTACCTGCATCACCAGAGTTCGGCAAAATATTGGAAGGTGAATTAAATAAGATCTTGTTAATCAGACACTTCGGATAACCATTATTGATGAACAGTTTTGATAGTTTATGTAAATTTGAGGTGTGGAAAGTATTATCTGAGATGCTGATTACCCTTGTTTTCATCTGTCAAAGGTTCGTCTCACTCATTATTCCATGACCACCATTTTCTGCAATCATCAAGTGGCTTCACGACGTAATGCTCTAATGTTTTCTAAATAATTTTTAATATGTCTTTAACTTGTCTTGTCATATTTTATATAATTTTAACCATTGTACCATGTATCCAGCTCTCACCATGTTACTGGACGTTTCCCTCATCCTATAAAACATCCTCACATACTACTGTAAGTTGATTCAATTTAAATTCATTTTACACTTTTGTTGCTACTGTTATCATTCTAATTGCAGCTCCTGATGATGATGGCAAAGTCCATTGAAAGCTAGAGAGAATTAAAAAAAGTATAAAGAGTCCTCTTTGCTTAAATTTTGTCGAAGTACCCAACAAAAGGTGGAAGCTTTAATTTTTCACCTAACTGGTCTAGACGACAATGACCACGTCTCAAGTTATATATATATATATATATATATATATATATATATATATACGGATGATTTTTGATATTAGTAAGAGACACAGCTATGTCTATTATAAATGTTGTTCTTTCTTGTCTTAGTGTAAGCACTGTCAATAACATTGTTGAGGATGGGCCTGTTTGTTAAGATTTTACGGTTGTAGTCAGCCTAGAGTTATCCGTTTCTATCACCGTGGCAAAGTGTAGCTATAGTAGGATTGTGTACCATTTTCTCCTAGATGCTTTTTAGCCAGAGCTTGATTAAGTATTTTGGCTACTCCATTGAGTCTTTCAAGATATTGTTTTGGAGCTAGGGGAGATCAGCCTGCTACAATATGGCCTATGGGCTCGTCCTTTTCCCCACATATGCGACATCTAATATATTCAACGTTTTCATGCATTAGATGCTTTCGGTAAAACTTTGTTGGGACTACCTGATCCTGGATTGAGGCTATGAAGCCATCCGTCTCCAGGAAAAGATTATACCGGTGTGAAGTTAGCAGCCAAATTTCAGCAGACAATTTCTCGGTCAGAAGGAATAATATGCTCTTGTAACACTAGTTAGGGACATAATTATGGCCAGAATAAAGTAGCTGATAGAACCTTTAGGGGTAGCGGCCAAAAATCTGATAATAAAAAAATCGATTACAACCCTTAGGGAATAGGTGTCCTCGATGAAAAGTATCTCAAGGCCTGCCAAATTGCGTAATGCTCAGATGTATAAATTGATGCTAATGGTGACAAGGTCAAACATGTGCGATGTTACCGGTGACAATAGAACATCCAACTCCTGTGGTGGTTGTTGAGCCATCAGTGTAAATCACTGTTGCATTAGAGAAACGATCAATATAGATAATAAAAGTGCGATTTAATTTGTGCAGATGGGGTCTTATGATTATGAAGCCTAAGGTTTGTCTCCGGTAGTTACTCGTAGCATGCTGGAGTTTTGCCGAAGATGAAAAGAAACAACGGGGTTTAAGGAATATTGAATTTACTTATCATTTCATTCCCTCTTTTGCCTTGTGATAGTTCGCTTTTGAGAATCGTTGGTAAGGATGATAAAATTGCGGTGTTATTATTATTATTGATTTTGAGAATCTGAAAGGCGACAAAAAATGGTTTCTGAAAATTCAAAAAGATATTGTTATTGGGATAACACATAAAAAGATGTTAGTTTTCTATTCGCGCGCACCCCCCCCCCCCTGAAATTTCATTTTAAATTTATATTACTACTTTCCTTTTTAGGTATCTAAGGAAAGTACCCATTCAGCTGGCGGGGCTACTAAGAATAGTTACTGCTACCATACACCATAGAAGATTATACATATTTAGTTTATGATTCTTACGCTGGATTATGTAATTGAAAGAGCATGACTCATATATTCATATATAGGTGTTTTATCAAATAAATGTATATATTAAGAAATAGCAAAACATTATTTTCATTATATCTGGGTATCAATATTTTACTCTCCATTCTATTGGTTGACGTAGGTTTCATAATAATACCAGATAATACTCAAATAAAAATGTTTGAAAATATATGTGGCAGCAGTGTATATAAGGTTAACCAAGAAAATAGCAAGACGGAAGTTATCTTTTTTCCGTTCCTGTATTTTCGGCCCGTTATTATAGTCTAGCATGGGGAGTCAACTCGTATCGGATAACAAAAACAGAACGGTTTTGCCAAGATCATAACCTGACAAAACTGTCGCATCCACAAGAAATGGCGTCCTTCCGGCAGATTATCACTTGTTTGTTTAATTAAAAATTCCCTCGATTATGACCATTAATATTTCCGCTTTACATCTATCTTGGCGCAGGATTTTTTCTTAACCGTCCCCACGAGTTACATCGCCTAACGAGTCCTACCGTAATAGACATGTACAATGTGTTGTCGGGCAGTACGCGGGATAGTGGCAGCGCTAACCTCAAACTGAATCTAATCAAGTACCTCTTATCAACCTGGTCTGCCACATGCTGGAATAACTGATTGGATACTAATTGGAAAAGCCCAGGATCTGTTTTATTGCCCAAAATGGTGTGTGTTTTGCCAGAAGATGTTTGGCCATATGCAAATATTGTTGCATTGAAACCTTCCATGAAGGAATCGACTAAAGGTTTTACTACAGATCCATATACATCTGAATTTGTACATTCCTGGTTAAATACATGGTCGAATATATAAACCTCTCCATGGCGACTACTTTCATCGGCTTCCCATATGCAGTTTTCTCTTACGTTCCAAAGACGCTCTAGACCATCGGCTACTTCGCGGTGGATCATTGGTCTGATCTTTATGGCTACTTTAATATTGTCGGAAGTCATTTTGGAAGCTTGAACTGAAATTTAATTAGAACTTGGGCTATTTCACGGGTTATAAAGAGGGGCAGATGTATCAGGTTGATACATTATTTTTTTCCTCCTTTCCAGTATAGAAGATTTTTTTCTCTTGTAGGCTATGAACGCGGTCCGATAGTTTTGTAGAGCTACATTTACAGGGTGACTCAAAATCAAAGAAGAAACAGAATTGTTAAATTTCATATAGACTGTTATTGTTATTACAAAAAGAAGTTGAAGCAGCAGCAAATTCTCACAAATCTGTAGATCCATCACTTTCAGCACCCGATTTTTCAACTTGAAAAATGCAGCTCGGTGAAGAATCACAAGGTAACTGTTGTCTATTCAGACAATACTCTTCTAAAAGCAACGCGAAGTTACCTAGTGCCTTACATGAATAGCCTTCATAATTCTTCATTATTGTCAATGGAAAACTGAAATTGTTGATTATTACAGTTTTTAATGCTGCAAATGCCATTACTCTTTTTATCCATGTGTACAACAGGTTTGTACGCATAAAACACTCTTACATGAAAACTGTTTATTGTCTAAAAACGAAAATACCCCATTTGAAGATGAGTAATGCAATAAATATAATTTACGAAACTTGAACTGTAATATGAACATAAAAAAACTAACAAAATGGGCCATTTAACAAAATATTTGGTGTTGATATTCTACAACAATAACAAATACTTTCTCGTATAAGGAAACGTACAATAATTCACATTTATCACTTTTCACGAAACAATGTAGCTGCGCTGTGTCTTTACATACTTATTACAGATTGTAGAACATTTTTTTCATTGTGTATTGTCATGTAACACCTACGTCGTTTTTTCCCTTTAACAACTGCATCAGGATCGAGAACTCTGGGCTGAGAAGTAGACGGCTTACTTTATTCGTCGTTGGTAATTTAGGATTCTTTGCATGGCTGAACGAAGCTCCCTAGGAAGTCTTGGATCTGATAAACGTCCTCTCATACGAAGTTAAATTAGAGTTTGCCTCAGGGGAACAATAAAATTTCGTCGAATAATATAACTTTCAGTCCCAGACTGAAAAAATAAAGGAATTTACAGAAGCTGGTTGGATACCAAATAGCACAAGGCCATCTTCTCGTTCTCTAACCAGTATTGTAATTTACACACTTCCGATCTAATGCATTACCCCCCGCCTTCATAGTGTTATAAAAATAATATAGAATCTTATCAGGTTTCTTTGATTCCTCTACTATTTTGTTATCATGCTGCATAGATTGCTATACGAGAACATGTTTATTTGGTTTTGGAAGATACTACACTAAGGCTGTAGTGCTAGTGAATATAAACTTAGAAGTACCTGGCTGTGTTTTCTTCTTATTTGGAACTACATGTTGGGGTACTTGTTACTTATTTTTACGCTTCCTGCCGACATAGGTCAGTTGGTTGATGCGCAATTCTACGTGCAATTCTACTGACGTGAACCAGTCATCTGCTGTGACATTTCTGTTCGTATAGACGAAAGCATTGAGCAGGTAGTGGTGAGTCTTTGCATCTTCAGTCCATACTTATTCGGTTTAGTTTTCTTGTAGGCACAGGAAGGACATCGGCCCACGAGCATCTCGTATTTTGTAGGGGACTCACCCGAAATATAACAATTTTGACAGTTCTCTATGAGTGTCTCGAAAATTTCACGTATTTGGAGAAATTTATCTGCATTTCTCGAGTCACAGGGTTATTATTTTCCAAATTGGTTGCCACGGACTTTAGTTCAGGTAAATGCGTAATAATATTGTCGTCTGGATCGACCAGTTGCAGGCGCTCATTTTGACCAATTGTATATGTTTTTTCCATAAGCATAGCGAGGTCGCCCATAGGAAGTTGTTCAGGTTGATCGATAACAGCGTCGTCCTCGGCGTAATCTATGGTGTATTTATTGTTCATCCGTCAACAACGAAAAAATCCATTGTGAAGGAAGTTCAAATCGTACACGCAGCTGACATCCTCGGATCAAATTTGACCGCAAAGTCAACAAACCAACACTTGTGATGTTTAAATTAAACTGTGGTTTGAGGTATACGTGCTTATACCTTATGAGAAGTCACGGGACCCCCACCACATAACTGAGAAAGCTCGAATCATCCGACGATACCATTAAAGGATTAATTTCTATATTCTTAAACGAATCTATAAAATCAAAGTGGCTTGGTTTCAATTTACATAGCTCTTTGTATGGTCTTGTTTGCTGATCAAAATTATATGCTTTCTAGACATGTTCAAGCTGTGCAGCTTCTTCACTTTCATATTAATGTCAATAAGAGCATTTCATCCATTTTTGAATAAATGTGGTTCATCACAAATTGTAGAAATACTCTGAGCATTGACTATAAAATGGAATGGACTTGATCCGTGAGTATTCTCCGAGCAAATCGTCTCAAGTGCGTTTTTGATCGTTGCGCCCTGATTACAAATAGTGCCAACGACGCACAAACCAAGTCGCTGCAAGTTTGTGATCACATGAACAATAATCGTTTTTAGATCTGGGATTCTTGTATATTTTACTAGATAATAAGCCACAACCTGCTTATAATTTTTACGAATCCCTCTTATCATGGAAGTAAGGGCATGATTTCTGATAAATCACTTTTACAGAGTTCTAGTTGATTTTGTTACCTCAGAATTCAAGATTTATTAGCTGAAAATTGTACACTGTAGGAACTGCCGTGACCCTGCAATAATCGTAAACACTAAACAAGGGTAGACATGTTTTTAGTTTAACTACCTGAAGATTTTCTGTATGACTTATGCGTAACTCTCCACCTATTATCTCATTTTGTAGTTGAGGCCCCTTCATCTGAGAATTGTTTACGTCTTCGTTTCTTTCCTAACCACAATGTTACATTTTGACAGTTGTTCGGTCCTTTCAGTCCGGGAACAGTCCGCTGTTGTTCCATTGCTCCATTGCTCCTCTCGAACTTTGTGTTCCGCGTCCAAGTTGAAGAAACTTCCCTTTTTGGTCGTAGCTCTGTTGAGAAGCACGCATTTTGCGGATCTTTACGCCAAATGAAGTCTAAGCGTTCTTCCTTTTTATGTGGATGTGGGAGACGGGAGTCTTCGACGCTTTTACGGCGTTCTAGCCGACACTTTTAGGCCACACTCCAACAGAGGTAAGCAATTCGGCTTGCGTTAAAATGGAACCCGGCGCCATATTGGATTTTTATTTCAGGCCTTTTTCATCTTCTTCCAACTTTTTCATCTTCTTCACCTTACGTTTTCTCCACCAAACGAGTGCTGATACCTTCAGATGAAGCCCTGACGACTTTTCCACGTCCTGCCCCGTCATGAGAGTTCCAGGCAGCCCCTGAGGAAGGGAGCTGATTCAGCTGTTGCCAATGTCCACAGACGCCATGTGCTGAAACCCCGTGGAACTGCATCTATATACTTAAGCAGCTAATTTCACTTAATATGAATTATTTATCCTAACTTCACAGCTGGTGTGATCCCGAGGTCATTTGTTACTTTTTCGAATTTTAATTTTTGCTCTTACAGAATGGTCAAAAACGCAAATTTTAGTTTTTCTCAAAAAATTCAAATGCATCAACCTGTATATTTGTGCAAGTTTTTATTTAATCAATTTTTTTTTATACTAGAGACATAACGGTTTTTACGGCTATTTTTTCGGTTATTTGCACGTCTTTTATGGAACGGCTTAATTCGCTAAAATATCGCTTCGTCTTTGGAAACAAATAAATTGTTGATTAGCTACAAACTATCAAAATTAGCTTTGTGAGCATTATAATGAAAACGTGTTTGAAAATGAATTTTTCTAAAGAATAAATGGTGAACACGTTCGTTTTATAAGCAACGGTACCCTAATATGCGACATCCAAGGCCGGAAATATTTTCCACACTACGAGAACGTTTTGAGTCAAGTGAAGCAGTGGAATATAGTAAAAAATGTATAAATAATAGAAGTGTCACCAAGCTGGCAAATCAGTTGGAGGTTCTATTAAAGTTGCAAGAAAATCCCCATTTAAGTGCACGGCAAATTGGAGCAGAAACTGACATAAATATGCAGAACTTGTATCATAAGGATTATTCATAAGCATAGGTACCATGCATATCACATATGCTTGCATCAAGGCTTTCGTCCTCAGGATTTCGCAGCTCGAATGGGGTTTAGTAGAATAATGCTAAATAAGGTGAGTGAAGACACTACTTTCCGGGATAAGGTTCTTTTAAGCAATGCGGCAACTTTTAACAGCATATGTTCTGTCGACAGGCATAACACTACTATGCGTCGCAAAATCCTTACTGGGTTAGGCAAATAGATTTCCAAAATAAATGGAGCTTGAATGGTTGGGAGGAGTTATTGGCAGACAAATTATCGGGCCTTTCTTTTTCGACAACAGATTAACAGGTACATATTACTTGAATTTTTGATCGAGTATTTGCTTTACGATGATGTCAACCTGCAAACCTGGATGCATATGTACTTCCAACATGACGGCGCACCTGTGCATTACCACAATCGTGTGCGTAACTATTTGGACACCTGGAGTAACAATCGTTGGATCGGTCGTAATGGGCCTATATCTTGGCCTCCTAGATCACCAAATATGACATCGATGG